CTGCTCGGATCTTTGGCCAAAATAGGAGGACAAGCCCCACAGTGCACTTCTCAAACTAATGGAAGCTCAGCTGCCCAGGCCCTGGAAGCCCCGACCAGTCCCTGGAAGCAGATGCTCCACCTGGCTCAGTGGCCTTTTGCCAGCTGAGACCATTAACCAATAATAGCTGCATTTCCAGAAAATTAGGCAGTGCTAATTTTAATCTTGTTCTCTGTTTAGAAACTGAAGTCCAGAGAGGTCAGACCTAGGGCATCTCCTCCGCGTTTGCACAGCGGCCTAAGAATGTCTGCATCCCACCATCTCCCCTGCAGGCTTCAAGCATCCTGAGGACATGGTCCTGCTAGATCCACTTCCATGACCCCAAGTCTCAGGTCAGGATTATAATATATCTGTCAAAGGGCTGAATGAGAACCTTCTATGGGAGCTGCCACAGTAGATGCCCGGCCCGTGTCCCCTTGGCACTTCATGCCTATGACAGCTTCCTCATCCCACGGAGGGAGGGGAGCTTTTTCTCTGTCCAAGAGTTTTTTTCTAGTTGAGGAAGCGCACTTGGCCCGTGCAAGAGGTAGGTAGTTATGCTGGGGCGGTTAGAGCCTTCAGCAGTATTCTTCCACCCACGAGGGCTCGAAGTTGCAGGTGAATGATCCAGGGCAAAGGAGAAAGAGGGCTGGAAGGTTTGCAGTGTGTTTGGCTGTTAGCATAACTGACACCATCTTGGGCCTGTTCATTTCCTCCTGTCCTTCCGCTGACCCTACCTAGGACTGTACTGTGTAGTAAATCTCTTCTCTGTCGTCAGTGGTTTTGTAATGAATAGATATTGTTTAATGATCATGAGGTCCAGGTAGTCTCCAAATAATGATAAAGACCTTCGCTGACATATTCCTGGCACCCACCCATCATAAATCAGATAAGGCCTTGACTTAGGAATGCAATCCCCGTCTCCAAGCACTTACCCCCATACCCTAGGTTAACTATAAAATTGTGATGGTCCCTCGGAGGTGCGGAGTGCAGCTGCCGATGCCTCCAGATTGCCATATGCCCTATCCAATCCGCATGTAAGTTACCCGCAATAAACTTCACAACTGTACTTTATGGAGCTGACTGCCTCGTTGTTTGGTCTCAAGATACCTTCTCAGTTCGTTGGGCACTTTTCATTCCCTCTGTCCTCGGAGATAGTTTTAGATGGGGAATTCTCATGACTCAGTCCAGAACCAACTGGAGGATGCACGGTTTGGGCACTCTGGTCTCCTGCAGAAATTCTCATCAGAACGACTGGAAGAACATGTTACAGTGCAGATCCCCAGGCCCATTCTCTCAGCTTCTGATTCAGAAGCATGCCGTGTTGGTTTCCTGGGTGCGGGGCTGGGGAGCTGTAACACGGTACCACCAGCTGGGTGGCTTATAGTAACAGAAATGTACTATCTCACAGTCTGGAGGCCAGAAATCTGAAACTAAGGTGTTGGCAGGGTTTGTTCCTTCTGGAGGCTTTGAGGGAGAATCTGTTCCAGGCCCCTCTCCTGGCTTCTGTTGACTGTGGGCCATCCTTGGCTTTCCTAGGTTTGCACATGGATCACTCCAATCCCTGACGCCATTTTCACAGTCTTCTCCCTGAGTCTGTGTCTCTTTTCTTATTAGGACACCAGTCATATTAGGACACCAGGCAAGGGTCCCCTGCCCCAGTATGACCTCATCTCAACTAATTATATCTGCAACAACACTATTTCCAAAAAAGGTCACATTCTAAGGTCCTGGTGGCTAGAACTTCAGCATATCTTTTTTTTTTGGTGGGGGAGACATAGTTCAACCTGTAACAGATGCAGCAATTCTAAATGCTAACAAACCCCCGGGAGATTCCGACATGACCCCCTGTGACTGTGGCACTTCCATCTGGTTCTTCTTTACAGAGCCTTCTGCAGAGACAAGGCCTGTAACAACGGTACATGGAGCAGGACCAGTCTGTTGCACTTTGACAGCCGGGCGTGCAGAGAATGAAAGGAAACAGAACTGCTGGAGGGAGGCAGCGAGGGGCAGCATGGTCCCAGCAGAGCATGAAGGGAAGCCTGGCTCGGTGTCTTGGCGTCCCCTACTGTCACCCCACTGGCCACATGTCTGAGGTCGGAAAGAAGGTACTTGACTTAATTTTCCAGCTACTCAAATGCCAACGCAGCAGGTGCTTCAAAAACAGGATTGCAGAAAGAAGTGCAGGATGAATAGCGCCGACTTTTTCTTCTTGGTTTAAAAGGAAATCTCTTGCTTTGGGGCAGATCATGCCTCATGAATTGACTTCTCACAGGCACTTTTGTAGATGAGAAACCGCAGCAGAGAGGGTTATGGGTAGATGCAGTGTGGCTCCCTTCCCATGTACTTTGTGGAGCAGGGATGGGGTCTGACATGGAGGGGTTGACGTGATGCTCAGACAGCATCCAGACACCAAGCCGTCCACCTGGATAGTTTCATATGGTGGGTGGGGAGAGGCTGGGGGAAAGGCACTGCTCCCAGCACACCTGCTCTGACAGGTAGCCTGTAGCCCCAGAGCCACGGGGGAGCACCTGAGGTGAACAGAGAGGCAGGGATGAAACAGCAGGAACCTCGGTGAAACCCATGCACATCTCCCCTTACAGGCCATCTTCTTTCCTGCCTCCTGCTTTTGCATATGCTGGTCCTTGACCCTGCAGCCTCCATTGGAAAATGACTTCCACCCTCCCTCTGTTAACGGTGCCAGCCTCACTTCAAATCCATGATCACAACTCTCAAAGGGGTTCTCAGCACGGCTGGGCGATCCTACTACATTTCCCTATCCATTCACTCTTTTTTTTTTTTTGCGGTACGTGGGCCTCTCACTGTTGTGGCCTCTCCCGTTGCGGAGCACAGGCTCCGGACGCGCAGGCTCAGCGGCCATGGCTCACGGGCCCAGCCGCTCCGCGGTATGTGGGATCTTCCCGGACCGGGGCACGAACCCACGTCCCCTGCATCGGCAGGTGGACGGTCAACCACTGCGCCACCAGGGAAGCCCTATCCATTCACTTTTTCATGTGAGAAAGAACACCTAATTGGTCGAAGCCACTAAATAGTTAGATTTCTGCTAAAAGCAGCCAGATGCAACCCCTAACAACACAAGGACGGATATCTCATGTTCATCTTCGTTTAAAGGGAAACAACTTGGATTCTTCGGATTCTAGATGGAAGCATCTTCTGGCACGCGGCACAATACGAAATGTGATTGCTCTCCGCTCGGGTCCGTCACCCCTCTGCCTTTTCACAGGCTCGCATTTGCCATCCAGGCACTCTCTGAGGACCCTTCAGACATGCCTGAACTGATAAAGGACCCGAGGCAAGGTTGCCTGGAGCCCACCATCACTTTGGCCCAAAGTGCCCAAGCTGGTTTGAGCGGAAGTTCCCAGGACTGGGTGTCTACCGCTGGGAGGGACCATGAGCCTCAGAGCAGGCAGGACCACAGGGAAATTGTGATGAGCTCTGAAACCGCTCACCACGTCAGCATCCCCCACCCCCCGCCCCGTCCCAAGTCTGACGCGCTGTGTTGCAGAGGCACTTCCCGTTCTGCTGGGACCAAGGACATAGTCCCGCAGTGGGTGAGGCTTGCTGCCCAGCTTGGTGTGTGTGTCTGGGCTAACCTGGGCATCCACCAGCCCTAGAGCTTTAGCTGACCAGGATAAATGACAGGCTGCAGTCTCCTTCACCTCCCCCAGTGCCCACTGGGAATGGAGCCCCACCCTGCCCCCCGACCCAAACAACTCTGCCCCGGGGCCCTCACCTCGTGGTGCTCCACCCTCCATGCACACTTAGGGAATACAAACTTCTTCAACAGCCACTGGTCCCTGTGTCTGCCAGGCCGTCTCGTTCTCTGGGCACTGCCCTCACTCCTGGAACTCCACGCCTTGCCCTCCTCGCCCGTCAGGACTCAGCCGGGCATGGTGGCTCCAGAAGCTTCCCTGACACCCAGGCTGAGCCTGGCACCTGCTGTCGGAGCCACGCCTGGGCTGCCGTTTTCCATATCATGCATCCCCAGTGCTGCTGTCACCTGCTATAAGCTGAAAATGGTGGAACACCGGTGAACGCCTAAGGGCCAGCCTGGCGTGTGTCCATCTGGCCCTCCTGGAGGTAGGGAAGCGCATCCCATCATCTCCGCAAGCCCAAGGCCTAGTTGAGTGTTGGCCAAATGGGGCTGATGTGCAGTCAGTCCTGCCTACAGGGTTTCAGCTCCTGCTGCATGAGCCCACGGCTGCCCAAGCCTCTGCTCTAACTCATCAGGCACAGACGGATGAACCCCCAGATAGTAACATCAGCTGGGACCAAGCCTGAGCCTCTGCTTCCGTGACTGCTGTAAGGGCAGTCATGCGGCCAGGTCCGACCCCAGCTTCGCCCCTCCCAACTCAGCATCATCCTATCTCCTGCCAGCCCATGATGCTGGGGTCCTAGCACTGTCCACACCACCTCACCCCATCAAATAATAACAAGAACAATGACAATAACAACAACAACAATAATAGTAACCCTTTTCATGAGGACTCCTACCATGCCAGGTATTGTATGAACAGCCTCATTTAACCTTACAACAAACACACTGCAAGGGAGTGATTTCCACTTTGTCATTGCTGAAAATAAGGCTCAGTGACGTTAAGTGACTTGCCTTAGGTCACTCTGGCAGCGGAAGAGCCAGGACTTGATCCCGGGCAAGTCTGCTCCAGAGCTTGGGCACGTAACCATGTGTAGGCCTGCCCCTCTGCGCCAGCATCCTGTGTGCCGGCTTGGTCCTCCTGTGGCCACCCCACTTCACATGAACACCCTGAGGCCCAGAGAGGTGAAGTTAGTGCCTTGCTCGGGCCACATGGCAGAGGCAGGATTAGAACAACGGCGTCCACCTGCTGCTTCCCTTCCAGTGTCGTGGCTGACTTCATGGGGGGCCAGGGACCCCGATTCTCCCAGGGAGACTTTCTGCCCTTGGAAGGGCTCTGCCCAGCAGATGCTGGTGGTGGACTTACTTCTCTCTGTTGAATATGATGAATTCTTTCCGCACTGTCTCCAGGCACTGCTGGAGGTGTCCATTCTGTCAAAGAGCGCAGAGAGGGGACTGTAAGTGATGAAGCATCAACCAGGGAGTGAGGACGAGCAGAGACTGATCTAAATGGGGCTGGGGACAATCAAAGCGGCTGGAGCAGCCCTGATTGTAGCGGCGGCTGTGCCACCGGGGGTGGGGAGGGGGGCTGGCAGACAGAGATGCTTTTCTCCATTTTAAGGCATTAAATCCAATTTAAAAGCCATGTTAAAACGGAATAGGAATTGAAAATCATGACCTTGGTTTCCTGATCACTTGAATGTTCGTTAGTCCTAATTAAGAAGCATGGTGGGGAGAGGGAGAAATTTAAGGCCAGCGTGCAAGGGTGCTCAATCTCTTCAGGAACAGGTGCCAAGGACCACCCGTCCCACGGATGCTCTGTAATACACGTCTCAGAGGCTTCCTGGATGCCGAATGTACACTGCATGCCTGTGCAGGAGCCCCACACCCTTGTGTGCCCTTACGTACACACACCCAGCCCTTCCCAGGCCAACTTCTGCATTAGGCTCTGCAGGCACTGGCCTAGGCTCCACGATACTTTTAGGGGCTACAAAGATGTTTTAATTTCTTTTCAAGTAAGCTGAAAAAAATGAATTTTTAAAATTGAAAGTTATATTCATCTTCCTACCAATGTAATCATGCATTACAATTTTTAATATATTTTGATGGAGGAAGGGGCAGTTGTGGGTTGAATTGTGTCTTCCAAAAAGGTATGTTGTGGAATGGATAAAGAAGATTTGTGTATATACAATGAAATACTACTCAGCCATGAAAAAGAACGAAATAATGCCATTTGCAGCAACACGGATGGACCTGGAGATTATCATACTAAGTGAAGAAAGTCAGAAAGAGAAAGACAAATACTGTATGTTATCACTTACATGTGGAATCTAAAAGATGACACAAATGAACCTATCTACAAAGCTGAAATAGACTCACAGACATAGAGAACAGACTTGTGGTTGCCAAGGGGGAGGAGGGGGTGGGGGAGGGAAGGAGTGGGAGTTTGGGATTAGCAGATGCAAACTATTATATATAGAATGGATAAGCAACAAGGTCCTACTGTAGAGCACAGGGAACTATATTCAATATCCTGGGATAAACCAAAATGGAAAAGAATATGAAAAAGAATGTATATATGCATATAACTGAATCACTTTGCTGTACAGCAGAAATTAACACAACATTGTAAATCAACCATACTTCAATAAAAAATAAAACTTTAAAAAGATATGTTGAAGTCCTAACCCCCTGGACTGGTGAATGTGAGCTTATTTGGAAACAGGGTCTTTGTAGATGGAACTAGATAAGCTGAAGTCATCCTGGAGCAGGGTGGGCTCTACATTTAACGACGGGTGTCCCTAAAAAAGGGCCGTGTGAAGACACAGAGAGGAAAACGCCACGTGAAGACGGAGGGAGAGATGGGAGTGATGCAGCCGCGAGCCAAGGGATGTCAAGGGCTGCTGGCCACCGCCAGAGGCTGCAAGAGGCAAGGAGGGACCCTCCCTATAGCCTTTGGAGAGAGCAAAGCTCTGTCGATACCTGATTTTGAACTTCTGGCCTCCAGAATTGTGTGAACACATTTCAGTTGTTTTAAGACACCAAGTGTGTGATACTTTGTGTTGGCAGCCTAGAAAATTAATTCAGTGGCCCACAGAGTGTGGCCCTGGGTGCCTCCACAGTATAAAACCTCTGCAGAGGGCGCTGGGGGCTACTCGGAACAGCACTGGTGTCGCTCAGCATCATTTCTTCTGCTCTTGCTAACAGATACGGAGGTTCTTGCGCTAGGAACAGTGCTAATGTGAATGATGAGGGCATGGATATGTCCCTCTACAGGGATGATTTCACAGGGTCCTGCTATGAAAGACCACTTGTTCGATGGAGGCATTTTATTGACTGCAAATGAACGTATTTGGTGGGGCAAAGTGACAAGCCCCCCATCTGGCTAAGAAGCAGCTCAACCATATTCACTGGAGTATAGGATTCCTCTCTGCCTGGGGTCTGCTCCTGAGACGGCACTCACCAGAGGACAGCTGTCCTTCGTGCCATCTTTGGACCTGTTCTTTGCCAACCTCTTCTTCTTTTTGTGAAGTGGTTTGGATTCAAGAATCATTTCTTCAAGTTCAAATGTGGGATCACAGTTCAGTCTCCCTTTCTGAAAGGAAATGGAAAAGAAAACACAGTTTGTCTTTGTTCCGTGCCATTGAATTGTGTTTTCGTTCATTCATTCATCCATTCATTCTATCAATCATTCATTCAACAAGTAACAATGAACTACTCCTATGGGATACATCAGCTACACTTTCTTCCTGATAATGAACAGTGACACATACTCGCTGCACACGTCATCATTTATCCCCATAATCCCGCCCACCTTGCACATCCCACTTATTAACATCCACAGGTTCCCTTGATCTTCTTACGTATGTTCATTTCGTGAGGTTGAGTTCAGTTTTCCAATCTGTTCTTTTCACTTATTTTCTCATACTCTCCTTCTCATGTCATTACTACCTTTTCTATAAATATCATTTTTAACAATTCCATTTAAAAATACCATTTCTGGCCAAAATCTACCCAGTTCCCCAGCCTGGCTCCCTGTTCTCCTGCAGCTAGAGCCGGCTGACCCTCAGGCCTAGCCCTGCCCTAGGCTGGGCTCCTGCCACTTTGGTCAGGAGTAATATTGGTCTCCCTGACTTATCCCAGGTGGCTCTTTTCCATCCTGAGACCCAGCCCAGGATGCTGGCTCTCTCAGGCAGCAGTCTGGTGGTTATAACATCAACGGCTCTGAAGGTGCTCAGAAAAACCAACAACCCAGTTCTGCTGCTTTCTGACCTTGAACAAGTTTTTAACTTCTTTGGGACTCAGTTCATTATCTGTAAAGTCTGGATAAGCATTCCTCCCTCATGCAAGATTAAACAAGTTAATAAAGTTCTTCATGTAGGGCCAAGTGAGAAGTGAGTCCTTGAGTAGGCGTCCCTGTTCCTGATTGGATGGGGGCCAGGGAGGGGAGGGACCAGGCATAACCGTGGGGGGGCTGCCAGCCTTGCCACTGAGTCCTACAGCCTCACCTTTCACCTGCGTGTCTTTGAGGGAGACATATCACCTCCCTCTGCCTCAGTTTCCTCATCTGTGTAAAATGCAGCAGGCTCAGTGGGTTGATGAGGATTAACTGAGATGGTGTTTGCAAATCTTCTAGAATGGGTCCTTCCTGATCCATGGCAGGCCTGCAATGACTGACCACTCCCTCTGCTGCCCTGCAGTCCCAGCCGCCTCCCATGGGAGCCCCGGCCTTAAACCCCAACTTATAAGCGAGGGTCTTGCTACCTGCCATCAAACTTGCCTTGGCCAGGCTGCCTCACCTCTCGATGTCAGCCAGTGCCCTGCCACGGCCAGGGCAGGAGGAGGAACCAGGGCTTTGCAGATAGAACTGGGGCAAGGCCTGGCTTTTCCATTCACTAGCAAGTCCCTCAACCTCTCTGGCCCTCAGTTTCCATAACTGTAAAATGAGGGTAAGTGCTCTGAACTTGTGAGGCTGGGGAGCAGTACTACGTTCTTTTCCCTTTCCCTTCTCCATCCTGGAGAGAGGTCCCAGCAGAACAGTCCCCGCTGGGATTGTCTGTACTGACAGCACTCCCCCACCTGCCCCTGCCGGGATCCTCACACCGCCAACTTCTATGGCTCCACTAATAGTCCCCTTTCCCTTGGTGGCACATCTGTCCCCCACCACTCTCCCTCTCCCAGTGAGCAGGTCAGATTCCAGGCCCAAGTCTTTCCTGGCCTGATCTATCTTCCCCCTCTCCCTCCCTCCCTCCCTTCCTTCCTTCAGTGGAGGCTCTGGGTCCAGACTGGCTGAGGTCAAGCCCTGGCTTTGCCAATTTCTCACTGAGTAATCGTGGGCAGTTTGCTTTACCTGAGACTATTCACTTAAGCTGAGACTGCTAACAGGACCCCCTTCCCTGTTGTGAAGCTTATACGACATAACGCACGTGAAGCTTTAGAACACGCTTAACCCTATTGGCTATTATCATTAACTGATCCATACTCATGTGACAAGCACATATCGAGGTCTTCTAGCAGCTTCTGGGGTCACCCATTGCTCTGGGATCTCTCTCAGGCGAAGGTCAGCCAACCCACCCTCTGAAGCTCTCGGGGAATGGCGGATACACGCAACAGAACGTTATTGACCGCTAACGCAGACCTAGGCACCTGTCCAGTGGGGAACCAGGGAGGGTGAGATCCACTCCAGGTAAGGGGATGGAGAGGCTGGCTGGGAAAACGTCCCAGAGGAGGCAATGACTGAGTTTCCTCCTTATCCAGAAGGCAGTTACCAAGACCCTCCAGTGGACCACTTGCTGCGTTTTACGCTGAGTCTGGAAGGAGGGGGAGGAGATTTCCAAGTGGACAAGAAAGGCACTCCTGGAAGAGGAAGCAGTGTGTTCACAGGTATGGAGCTAAGGAACAGTGTGGCCAGAGGGGACAACTGCAGGCATCTGCGTGTGGACCTCGGAAATCAGGTACAAATCCACCCTGAATCTCAATGAAACGTGATTCCTCTGGTGCTCAGGTGACCGTGGCCAGCAGGGGCCCCACTGGACAGCTTCTGGCGTCTTCCTGCCCGCCCAGGCGGGGGACCCCGCACAGGGAGGGATGCCGTCGAACAGGACCTCACTCACATTGGGTACGAAGCCGGGCATCAGGGCCTTCTCCCACACTGCGTCCCAGTTCATGTCGGCCAAGTAGGGTGCACTCTGGACGTCACCGAGGCTGGACAGGCGGCTCTTGGGGTCCTTGGTCAGGAGCTGCAGGCAAAGGGCAAACGTGCTCGCTTGGGCAGTGCACCCCACAGAGGTTTGTGGGGGAATCCGAAGGCGGAGTCTTGGGAAAATGAAGGTGCCCCTGCTTTCTGCGTTCCATGAGTGTCCTGCCCTGTTTGGGCTGCTGCGTTGGAAGGACCACCTACACTCATCTCTTTATAGCCAGGGAGGAACTGAGGGGTCAGGCTGCTGGAAGGTCATCCAGCAATGGGCTCTTTGGACAGGGACTAGATTTTCGCCCGCCCTGCTCCCCTTGGGAACTCACACCCTGTGACATGCCACCTCTCAATGAGGTCTGCAGAGGCTTCCAATTAAAAGTAAAAAGAATTAGCCACCTTGTTTTAGGACTTTCAGCTTGGTAATGGGATGCACAAAAGCATAATAAAATTTCTCCCTGGACAGCTATGAGGTGACCTCTGCAGTCTGATGGAATGGCCTCATTTGTAGCCAAGGGGTCAACTTTTAGCTTCCCTTCAAATGGAGTTTCTGCTAATAAGGAGTGATGCAGTAAAAGAAAAAAAAAATAGCCATACATTACCTTGCATCCAGAGGGGTTTTCAGCTTTCAAAACACTAGCTTATCTGGTGCAAGGACACTGAGGCTAAAAATGAAAGACGGGGCCCAGCCCTGGGAGGGCTACTCGGTAGCAGCGTGGCCCCGGCTGAGCTGCTGACTGTGCAGTGCATGGTTCCTCCTCCGAAAGAAGGAAGGATAATGGTAACTCTTCCACTTCTGGGTCACGATTCAGATGAGACCCATAGGGGATGGATGAGGACCTGGGACACACCAAGGCAGGATGCCACCCCCAGCTGCTGGCAGGTGGGAGCTGGAATCAGGACCCCCGCCAGTCGGCTCCCACCTGCCACTGCAGCGAGTGGGCTACAGTCACACCATGGGAGGGGCACCTGGCAGGGTCCCACCTGCTGATCACGGTGGCTTCTCTCTAGGAACTGTCCCCAGAATGACGGGTACAGATTTAAACAGAGACGCCGCTTCAATGCCCAGGGCAGGGCGGCGGTGGAGGGGGGTGGCCACCGTTTAGAGCAGCAGTTAGCTCTCTGACTCCATGGGTGGGTGGGAGGTGGAGGTGTTGGCAGGTGGGTAGAGCTTCCAGGTGATTCCAATCAGCAGTTGGTTAAGGACCACTGATGTCTAAAACCCAGGGGGTGAATCTCCCCTAAAGCAATTTAACTGGTGAGTAATTCCCTAAGTCATCTACAGAGTTTGGAGGGATTAAGAGCTGACATCTGGAGTTCAGAGAGCTTGCATTTAAATCCTCCTCTGCCTCTAACAGCCCTGTGGCAGTGAGTGAATGATCTTCTTTCCCGAGCCTCAGTTTTCCCATCTCTACTATGGGGGCACTGACACTACTCCTCTCACAGGGCATGTAAGGACTAAATGAGCAGAGCCCCCATATAACATTCCCCCAACCAGTGCTGGCTGCCGTCATCATAATTCCTTCATTAAAGGTGACTGGTGCTGACCACATGCAAGGCTCGACTCTGTGTCTCGGAGGATTCCAAGTAAGTTTAGCTGAATGCCAGCCTCAGAAGGAGGGTGCCACGACCCATGCTGAACTCGAGCTTATCAGAACACAAACAACAGGGCCTGCCCCACCATTTCTGATTCAGCAGGTCTGCGGGTGGAGCCTGAGAATCCGCATTTCCAACAAGTTCCCGGGGGATGCTGGTCCAGGAACCACCTTGGAGAACCACTGCTTTATTCTACTAGCAACTACTAGTTCCCAGGAAAAGTCAGGAGACGCCCAATGTCTTAAAGGTCAGTGAGTTAAAAGATGATTTGTAAAATTTTTAAAGAGCTATATGCATTAAATATTTCTAATTACTAGAAGCTTGTTGTGGAGTGAAAAGAGCCTGTGGGCTTTGTTGTCACAGACGTGACTAAAAGCCACCCTGTCCAGCGGCTTTGTGATCTTGATGCGGGATGGTGAGAGTGTTTACGATGAGGCATTAGAGCACCGCTGACTATTATTTCCACCACTGTCCCGCCATTCGTTTTCTCATTCCTTAATCTGCTGGTCTGCCTGTTACTGCACTGAGTGCCCAGCTCCCTGGCCAGGTGGGCTGGCGGCTGCCCCCTTACCTTCTTCAGCAGGGCGACCATGCCCTTGCACCACGTGGAGGAGTAGTGGACACGCTCCACCTTGAAGATGTTGAGGATCTCATCGATGGGGGTGGCCGAGTGGATTTCATATGGCCTCTGCAACCAAAGGACAACAGGCGGCATCAGAGAGAAAGACCCCACGTGGTTAAAACAGACATAGAGAACAGACTTGTGGTTGCCAAGAGGGAGGGGGAGGGGGAGGGATGGAGTGGGAGTTTGGAGGGGTGGGATGAATTAGGAGATTGGGATTGATAGATATACACTATTGACACCATGTATTAAATAGATAACTAATGAGAACCTACTGTATAACACAGGGAACTCTACTCAGTGCTCTGTGGTGACCTAAATGGGAAGGAAATCCAAAAAAGAGGGGATATATATGTATGTATAGCTGATTCACTTTGCTGTACAGTAGAAACTAGCACAACACTGTAACGCAATTATACTCCAGTAAAAATTTTAAAAAAATAATAAAATAAAGTCAGCTCTGCACCTTTAAGCTCCAGGCTCAGCCTTAATCTGTTTGCGTGGTTGTGGAGAAACCCAGGTCCTTCGACAAGAATACTGGCACATATTAAGATCCATATTCCATCTGCGTCAGGTAAAGAGTTTTACTGATGCTCGGTTCTCACTTAGGATGTCTTGACTCAGAAAACCAAGTGGTCTTTATAAGGTAAAGTAATTACATGTTCTGCTGGTGAAAGTGATTTTGGCAGCAGGGCACTGGATATATATATATATACTCATTATGGAGTGCAGGTGCATCTCTATTCCAGGAAACTCAGTTTAGAGAAATTGCCAATTTACCAAGAAATGGAAGAAACAGGAAAAGAACTGCGGTAGACCTGTTATTTTATTTTATTTTTTTACATCTTTATTGGAGTATAATTGCTTTACAATGGTGTGTTAGTTTCTGCTTTATAACAAAGTGAATCAGTTATACATATGTTCCCATATCTCCTCCCTCTTGCGTCTCCCTCTCTCCCACCCTCCTTATCCCACCCATCCAGGTGGTCACAAAGCACCGAGCTGATCTCCCTGTGCTATGCGGCTGCTTCCCACTAGCTATCTATTTTACGTTTGGTAGTGTATATATGTCCATGTCACTCTCTCACTTTGTCACAGCTTACCCTTCCCCCTCCCCATATCCTCAAGTCCATTCTCTAGTAGGTCTATGTCTTTATTCCCGTCTTACCCCTAGGTTCTTCATGACATTTTTTTTTCTTAGATTCCATATATATGTGTTACCATATGGTATTTGTCTTTCTCTTTCACTCTGTATGACAGACTCTAGGTCCATCCACCTCACTACAAATAACTCAATTTTGTTTCTTTTTATGGCTGAGTAATATTCCATTGTATATATGTGCCACATCTTCTTTATCCAATCATCTGATGATGGACACTTAGGTTGCTTCCATGTCCTGGCTATTGTAAATAGAGCTGCAATGAACATTTTGGTACATGACTCTTTTTGAATTATGGTTTCCTCAGGGTATATGCCCTGTAGTGGCATTGCTGGGTCATATGGTAGTTCTATTTGTAGTTTTTTAAGGAACCTCCATACTGTTCTCCATAGTGGCTGTACCAATTCACATTCCCACCAGCAGTGCAAGAGTGTTCCCTTTTCTCCACACCCTCTCCAGTATTTATTGTTTCTAGATTTTTTGATGATGGCCATTCTGACCGGTGTGAGATATCTCATTGTAGTTTTGATTTGCATTTCTCTAATGATTAATGATGTTGAGCATTCTTTCATGTGTTTGTTGGCAATCTGTATATCTTCTTTGGAGAAATGTCTACTTAGGTCTTCTGCCCATTTTTGGATTGAGCTGTTTGTTTTTTGTTATTGAGCTGCATGAGCTGCTTGTAAATTTTGGAGATTAATCCTTTGTCAGTTGCTTCATTTGAAAGTGTTTTCGCCCATTCTGAGGGTTGTCTTTTGGTCTTGTTTCCTTTGCTGTGCAAAAGCTTTGAAGTTTCATTAGGTCCCATTTGTTTATTTTTGTTTTTATTTCCATTTCTCTAGGAGGTGGGTCAAAAAGGATCTTGCTGTGATTTATGTCATAGAGTGTTCTGCCTATGTTTTCCTCTAAGAGTTTGATAGTTTCTGGTCTTATATTTAGGTCTTTAATCCATTTTGAGATTAATTTTTTGTATGGTGTTAGGGAGTGTTCTAATCTCATACTTTTACATGTACCTGTCCAGTTTTCCCAGCACCACTTATTGAAGAGGCTGTCCTTTCTCCACTGTACATTCCTGCCTCCTTTATCAAAGATAAGGTGACCATATGTGCGTGGGTTTATCTCTGGGCTTTCTATCCTGTTCCATTGATCTATATTTCTGCTTTTGTGCCAGTACCATACTGTCTTGATTACTCTAGCTTTGTAGTATAGTCTGAAGTCAGGGAGCCTCATTCTTCCAGCTCCGTTTTTCGTTCTCAAGATTGCTTTGGCTATTCGGGGTCTTTTGTGTTTCCATACAAATTGTGAAATTTTTTGTTCTAGTTCTGTGAAAAATGCCAGTGGTAGTTTGATCGGGACTGCATTGAATCTGTAAATTGCTTTGGGTAGTAGAGTCATTTTCACAATGTTGATTCTTCCAATCCAAGAACATGGTATATCTCTCCATCTGTTTGTACCATCTTTAATTTCATTCATCAGTGTCTTATAATTTTCTGCATACAGGTCTTTTGTCTCCTTAGGTAGGTTTATTCTGAGATATTTTATTCTTTTTGTTGCAGTGGTAAATGGGAGTGTTTTCTTGATTTCACTTTCAGATTTTTTATCATTAGTGTATAGGAATGCCAGAGATTTCTGTGCATTAATTTTGTATCCTGCTACTTTACCAAATCCATTGATTAGCTCTAGTAGTTTTCTGGTACCATCTTTAGGATTCTCTATGTATAGTATCATGTCACCTGCAAACAGTGACAGCTTTACTTCTTCTTTTCCAATTTGGATTCCTTTTATTTCCTTTTCCTCTCTGATTGCTGTGGCTAAAACTTCCAAAACTATGTTGAATAAGAGTGGTGAGAGTGGGCAACCTTGTCTTCTTCCTGATCTTAGTGGAAATGCTTTCAGTTTTTCACCATTGAGGATGATACTGGCTGTGGGTTTGTCATATATGGCCTTTATTATGTTGAGGAAAGTTCCCTCTATGCCTACTTTCTGCAGGGTTTTTATCATAAATGGGTGTTGAATTTTGTCAAAAGCTTTCTCTGCATCTATTGAGATGATCATATGGCTTTTCCTCCTTCAATTTGTTAATATGGTGTATCACGATGATTGATTTCCATATATTGAAGAATCCTTGCATTCCTGGAATAAACCCCACTTGATCATGGTGTATGATCCTTTTAATGTGCTGTTGGATTCTGTTTGCTCGTATTTTGTTGAGGATTTTTGCATCTATGTTCATCAGTGATATTGGCCTGTAGTTTTCCTTCTTTGTGACATCCTTGTGTGGTTTGTTATCAGGGTGATGGTGGCCTCACAGAATGAGTTTGGGAGTGTTCCTCCCTCTGATATATTTTGGAAGAGTTTGAGAAGGATAGGTGTTAGCTCTTCTCTAAATGTTTCATAGAATTTGCTTGTGAAGCCATCTGGTCCTGGGCTTTTGTTTGTTGGAAGATTTTTAATCACAGTTTCAATTTCAGTGCTTGATTGGTCTGTTCATATTTTCTATTTCTTCCTGATTCAGTCTTGGCAAGTTGTGCATTTCTAAGAATTTGTCCATTTCTTCCAGGTTATCCATTTAATTGGCATAGAGTTGCTTGTAGTAATCTCTTATGATCTTTTGTATTTCTGCAGTGTCAGTTGTTACTTCTCCTTTTTCATTTCTAATTCTATTGATTTGAGTCTTCTCCCTTTTTTCTTGATGAGTCTGGCTAATGGTTTATCAATTTTGTTTATATTCTCAAAGAACCAGCTTTTAGTTTTATTGATCTTTGCTATCGTTTCCTTCATTTCTTTTTCATTTATTTCTGATCTGATCTTTATGATTACTTTCCTTCTGCTAACTTTGGGGGTTTTTTGTTCTTCCTTCTCTAATTGCTTTAGGTGCAAGCTTAGGTTGTTTATTCGAGATGTTTCCTGTTTAAGGTAGGGTTGTATTGCTATAAACTTCCCTCTTAGAACTGCTTTTGCTGCATCCCATAGGTTTTGGGTTTTCGTGTCTCCATTGTAATTTGTTTCTAGGTATTTTTTGATTTCCTCTTTGATTTCTTCAGTGATCACTTCGTTATTAAGTAGTGTATTGTTTAGCCTCCATGTGTTTGTATTTTTTTACAGATCTTTTCCTGTAATTGATATCTAGTCTCATAGCGTGGTCAGAAAAGATACTTGATACAATTTCGATTTTCTTAAATTACCAAGGCTTGATTTGTGACCCAAGATATGATCTATCCTGGAGAATGTTCCATGAGCACTTGAGAAAAATGTGTATTCTGTTGTTTTTGGATGGAATGCCCTATAAATATCAATTAAGTCTATCTTGTTTAATGTATCATTTAAAGCTTGTGTTTCTTTATTTGTTTTCATTTTGGATGATCTGTCGATTGGTGAAAGCGGTGTGTTAAAGTCCCCTACTATGAATGTGTTACTGTCGATTTCCCCTTTTATGGCTGTTAGTATTTGCCTTATGTATTGAGGTGCTCCTACGTTGGGTGCATAAATATTTACAATTGTTATATCTTCTTCTTGGATCGATCCCTTGATCATTATGTAGTGTCCTTCTTTGCCTCTTGTAATATTCTTTATTTTAAAGTCTATTTTGTCTGATATGAGAATTGCTACTCCAGCTTTCTTTTGATTTCCATTTGCATGGAATATCTTTTTCCATCCCCTCACTTTCAGTCTGTATGTGTCCCTAGGTCTGAAGTGGGTCTCTTGCAGACAGCATATATATGGGTCTTGTTTTTGTATCCATTCAGCCAGTCTGTGTCTTTTGGTGGGAGCATTTAATCCATTTACATTTAAGGTAATTATCGATATGTATGTTCCTATTCCCATTTTCTTAATTGTTTTGGGTTTGTTATTGTAGGTCTTTTCCTTCTCTTGTGTTTCTTGCCTAGAGAAGTTCCTTTAGCATTT